GTCCTCTACCTCGCGCTTTCTCGCGCCACCGCGCGCGCTCTCGAACATACTCTATTATTCACATAATCTTGTAACCAAGAGATAACCGTTCCTTCAAATCCAAGAAATTCCAATTTAGCAATTAATATCTTTCTATTTATTGTCTCGAAAGCTCTACAATAGTCCAGAAAAACAACTCTAATCTTATTACCTTTACTTATTGCTAATTTCCACTCAGATATTACACTTTGTAACGCAGTTTCACCCGAGTAGCTATTTCTGAAGCCCGATTGGCAATCGGTAATAATATTGTGCTCCTCACAGAATTTATCTAATTGCGATTTTACTACGGTTTCTAATACTTTCTCATACATTGGCAACATATTAATCGGTCGCAAATTTTTCGCATCATTTGATCCTGTTACTTTAGGTATCGGTACAACAGTAGAACATTTCCACTCCGACGGAAAGACCCCTTTGGCTAAAGACATATTGCAAACCTCCAAAAATATTCCATTCATTGTTTCATATGCCCATTGTAAAACTATCGTACTAATACCCTCATTTGTCCCACTTTTACGTTTTAATTTTCTAACTATCTTTGATAATTCATCATTTGTTACCTCCTCAAAACTCTCCATCACACCTTCTCCCTTATTACCTAAGTAGTCACAAAACTTTTCATCCCCTATTTCTATACTTTCAACAATTTCATCAATACTTTCAATAAAATATTTATTTAGTTTATCAGCTATATCTCTAAATCATTCTCATATCTTATTCCGTCTATCAATATACCTACTCCATATTCATTATTTTTATTAGATTTCAATATATTAGTCTTAATTGCTTTCCATAATTTATATGAGTCGCCTTTAAATGTGTCAATTTGATCTAACAAGTATTCCGTTTTTCTATCTCTAATTAGTTTAACGACTCTGTTTCTACACCTTTTAAAATCCGTCCACACCTACGGATTCCTACTCTCTATGGCCTCTTTATATTTCTTATCCCTCTCCTTAATTGCTTCCAATATGTCTCCATTAAACCATTTATTGTGCAACCATTTTATCTGTACAATCTGTTAGGTCCGTCACGAGATACCTTAGTATACGGGATGACGGGGATAGGATGAGAGATCGATGCAACAAGGTACACGAAGCCGAGACAGATATATGTGCAGTTACTATAGTTTAATGTCGGACTAAATACAATAGGTCATAGCGTGACCGTGCTCGGGCGGGGACTGACACGGGGACCGGTAGCTTGCGCCCCTCCACAGTGCGGCGCGACCACAGCGCCGGATAGCGTCGGTATCGATACCCAACATCTCCCCCCTTGGGAAGTTACCGCTGAGAGTAACTTTTAGCGGATGGATCCAAGATTAGTCTTTTCGGAGCCATCCGATTACAAGCGGGTCTAGCCGGCGTCGACAGGTTTACAGGAGGGTTAGGTTCCTGAATGACTGGGGTCTGGGCTGCAGGGGATGCAGCCGGCTGGTGATCAGCTTCCAAAGTAGGAGGCGTTTCCGGCGTGGGCGGCTGTAGGAGCGACCAGTCGTCCATAAGACTCTCGGGCCGGGTTGACGGGTCGGAACCTCCCTTCCAGATATGATTGATGTGGCGGTCGATGACTCTTCCGTCTTCAAGGCGTACAGAGTAGCGAGTTTGTGATAGTACTTTATGAATAACGCCTTGTTCTCTTTTGTCCTTGCGAGTAAGGACTATTACGCGGTCGCCCAACGTTAGGTAACGGGGTCGGGCGCCATGATGTTTCAAGAACTGCTTCTCCATAGCTAGCTGTTTCTCGGCAGAGGCTGGTGGAGCAGGCTCGTGAGTCTCAGGCTTCGGGAGCAATTTCGAGAACGGGGAGTTCATTCGACG